ACAAGATGAGGGCATCACTACACTGCGGGAACTTCTGGATGGTCTCTTCAAAGCCGGTCTTGGCCTTGGTCAGCAGAGACAGGTCCTCTGTCACGATGGCCTTACGGTGAACTGAAACCAACCGCCACAACATACATTATTTCTTCCTTCCCAGCACTCCACAGAGTTCTTAGTTTTATTAAGGTTTACTAAGAGTTTTACGGCACTCGCAACACAACAAGGTCATATAAGTGCCGAAAATTAGAAGTGTTACAAGAGAGTAACAAACACAAAAAAGGAGGGGAGATAAGGACGATAGACGTTAGAAAGGAAAGAAGAAGCAAACCGCACCAGAGCACCCGCCAACCACCCACTTCTGGACACACACTGACCTGCACAACACATTTGGACAAACACACTCATCTACGCAATATTTGTAGTAAGAGACACATATTCATACACACTATGCTTTTGGGCACGCCAATACTTTTAGACACACACACACCTACACAGAGTGGGTTTTTTTAGTTAGTTTTAGTAGAGGTTTTAACGGCGCTCGCAACTGCATAAGGTCATATGAGCGCCAGAAGATTAGAGGTGTTACAAGAGAGTAACAAACATAAAAAAGAAGGAGGAGAGATAAGGACGATAGACGTTTGATAGGAAAGAAGGAGCAAACCACACCAGAGCACCCGCCAACCACTCACTTTTTGTTTGTTTTATGTTTGGTAAGAGTTTTAAGTCACTTGCATCACAACAAGGTCATATTAATGCTGACAATTGGAGGTGTTACTTTGTTTGTCTGCTTGTCTGAGAAACGAGAAGCACATCGACACAATAATGGTCATTTAGGGCTGGGAAAAAAGTAAGCCAGACAGACAGAAACAACAGATGGAAAGTAAAAATGTAGGACCTACCAGTGGCACCCTCCAACCACCCGCAACGGTGTTACAAAAGAGTGACAACACAATAACTGAAGAGAACAGGACGATACATGTTTGACAAGAAAGAAGGAGCATACCACACCTGAGCACCCGCCAACCACCCACAGAGCTCATTGTTCAAGAGACGTTTGCTTGGCTGATGAGAAGACTCAAATCCACACAATAACTGCCATTAAGAGCAAGAGAAAAAAAAATGGTCACACAGATAGACAGAAACACACAGAG